AACCAGATTTAACTATATTTATTGATGGATCATATAGAATTTTCTCCAATAACACGATTTGAATTAATTTTTATATGTTTTGTATATAGAATGATTATATTTTGTCTGCAATCATTTTCAAAAAGGCATCAACTAGAGGTGACCAACTGCCGGACCGCGACCCGGCCTGGCCCACCGGGTCGGTGGACCTCAATATTATGGCCCGTAACAGACCCGAAAAAACCTATGGGACAGTTCATAGAACCGGCCCGGCGTGTCTCGGATCGTTCCGGGCCCAAAAAAAGCAATGTGACCCGCGACCGGGCCTGGCCCGGCGGGTCAAAAACTAAAAGTTCATGAACCGGGACCGGACCGCAATCCTACGGGTCCGGTTCAAAGAACCGGCCCTTAGGAGGACGGTTCCGGGCCGGTTCGGCCCGTGGACACGTCTACATCAACCCTGCTAGTCTGTTACAGCCATTTTCAAAAAGAGCTAACATTTATTCAAACTCCAAAGAGAAAAGATTAGCAGTACAATAGGGGCCACAGGGCCATACCCGTCTTCCAATAATTGAAGAGATCCATTCCACAATTTTTGTGGTTTCAGTTCTCTATCTATCTATCTATCCACCCAAAAACTGTTGCTTTCCAACAATAATTTTTTTTCTGAGAGCTGATCGGATTCTGGCCGGAAAAAAATCAAAATGGCAGCAGCCTATGCAGCTCTTCGTTCTCTTGAACAAACCATAGCCCAGATACAGAATCACCCTCGCCCTCCCATTTCTCTTGACAAAACAAAAACTAAATCACTCACTGACATTATCATCTTCTTGCTTCACTTTCTCGAAAATTATTCGTTTGTCGACGGTCAAGAAGCAGATGCTCTGGAGGCGCGTATGGCCGATGCAGCTTATGCGGCAGAAGATTTGATCGAATCCCACATCGTCCATCAGATTCAAGCTCTTTCAGGAAATCTTCACTACGACAGTGACTCGTCGAGTGACTCGTCGAGTGACCCATCAAGTGACTCGTCGAGTGAAGATCTACAGCAAGTGACAGAGGAAATGGAACTCATTAAGACCGTTAGTGGTGATGGTGTTGGTGGTTCATTAAGAGGATCTCCTTCTTCACAGGGGCTCAACAACAAGATTCAAGCTGGTGCCGAAAATCTCAATTCCATTGTTGACTTGTTGTACAAAGGTCTACAGAAAGTAACAGATGAAATGGAACTCATTAAGAATGAGGTTATAGAGATTCAAATGCAGAATTTGGGAATCAGAAAGTTTTCATCACCTGCCGCTGGTGGCAGTATTTGTGATTCATTTAGAGGATCTCCTTCTTCACCTGACACTTCCATGATAGGATGTGATGATGTCATGATTGATGTCATGGACAGGTTGACAAGCGTACGCTCCAGCCGGATCATCCCAATAGTAGGCATGGGCGGCATTGGTAAGACCACTCTTGCTAAAAATGTATATGTGAATCAAGTAATTGTGGAATACTTTGATTTACGCGGTTGGGCCACCATTTCTCAAGACTATGATTCGAAAGGAATTCTCTTAGAAATCCTAATTTCTTGCTTGAAAACTCAAGACAGTAGGGAAAACTTGAGAATACTTAGTGAAGATGAATTAGGAGAGAAGTTGCACAAAACTTTATATGGGGAAAGGTATTTGGTGGTGATGGATGACATGTGGAACATTGAAGCATGGAACAAGGTGAAATTCTACTTTCCGGACAATGGCGCTGGGAGCAGAATAATAATAACCACTCGGCTGTCAAACCTGGCTTCTGAGTTGACTGGCTCGTGCGGCCTGCAGAATATGAGTTTTCTAAATAATGACTGCAGTTGGAACCTATTCTGCAAAACTGTGTTCGGGGACGGTGCTTCTTGCCCACCCGAACTAGAAGAAATGGGACAAAGAATCACAAAATCCTGCAAAGGGCTTCCCCTATCAATCAAAGTGATTGGAGGTCTGCTGTCAAAGTACAAAGAATCACGCAAATATTGGGAGTACGTCATGGGAAACTTCAATGCAGTCTTGAATTCGGAAGATGATGAGCGCTGTTTAAAAATAATAAGGCTGAGTTATATGGAGTTGCCCGTGCACCTAAAGCCTTGTTTTCTTTACATGGCAGTTTATCGGGAAGATGGTGTGATTCATAAATCGAATCTCATCAAACTGTGGGTTGCGGAGGGATTTCTCAAACCAATTACTGGAAAAATTATGGAGATGGTTGCAGAAGAATACTTGGGGGATCTTTTGAATAGAAACCTCATCTTAGCTCACGAAATGGGGCTCACAGGGAATCTAAAATCTTTCAAAATCCACGATCTCCTGAGGGACCTGTGCATAAAAGAAGCTCAGACAAACAAGTTTATGTGCACAAGAAGGCTAGGTGATCCCAGAATCCAACAAGACATCCAAAGCCAACGACGCATTGGTTTCCATCCGAGCATGGGAAATAATATCAATGCAAAAACTGGTCCCTTGCAATCTTCTTCACTCCGTTCTTTCATATGGGATTTTGAGGTGCCTTCGGGATTAATTCCCCAACTTCATTTTAAATTATTGAGGGTACAAATGATGTTGTCACGCAGCATTGACAGGTCTTTTGGAGGTATTGCGTTGCCTGCCAATTTACGGCTTCTTGATTTTGGAAGCCACTTTTTCACAAACCATTTTTCAGCTTACCATCTCTGGAATATACAGACATTGGCATCAAGGTTTCCTGCACAAATTGACATTTGGGAAATGCCTCAGCTCAGGCACGTCAAGTGTGATGATAGTTTGCACCTCCCGGATCCGACTCCTCATCATGAGGAAGGCGATGATTTGTTAGTAGTTTTGGAGAACCTACAGACGCTCCAGACAGTAGTGAATTTCAAGTGCAGTGAGGACGTGGTTAAGAGAATTCCCAACATCAAGAAATTGGCATTACAATTCAGCGTACCCCACAGAGAAGATTACTGTCTCAACAATCTACGTCAGTTACAAAAACTGGAAACCCTTCGTTGCAAATATTACTTTGAAACACAAGATTCAAGTGAATGGCGGCTTCGTAGTTGGTTCCGTGAAATAAGACAACGTGAATCGGATTGGGGGCTCAGCTTCCCAAGTTCACTCAGGAAGTTGACTTTAGAGGGCATTCAGATGAGTTGGGAAAAGGTGGGGGAGAAGATAGGCTTGTTGTCACATCTTCAAGTGCTTAAACTAAGGAGATGCTCGTTAGAACGTGAATGGGAAACTGTCGAGGGTCAATTTG